TGGCACGTCCTAAGGAAAGCTCATTGTGGGACTGGCTCGTAGTGGCTGAAATTCTGCACCAAGGCTGAATTTCGGGAAAGAGACTTTAGATACAGTACTAGGGACCACTTAGGCCTATATAAAAGCATCCAAAAAGCAGCATGTCATGGGACCTTTAAGTCATAACTTAATATTTCGAAATTTCAATGGTTCACCACTAGGGGGAGATCTCTGTGAATCCATGAACTAGTGTCTGTATGGTTTTTACCTGATTTTGGAACAGTTTTATACATATGTAGAGATTTTTAAAGACACATTTGTGTAATAAAAATGAAGGGTTGTTGTTCATAGTCTCTTATTGGCCTGATAAACCATGCTCTCCATAAAATAAATCCTACAATATAATAAAATAACATATCATACAGACGCTTAATATTTAATGGTATTAGATGATTTATTAATTGCATTTAATAGATTTCACTATTAATAAAACATTTGCAATATTTTGTAAATGGTGTTTTTATGCATGTTTGGGCTGCATTTTCATTGCATTTACAGGCATCACCAGCAGGTGGAATTTAATTTGCTTCGAATCAAAGACTCATTTTGCAAAGCACAAGTGCACTTGATTCAAAGTTTCAAAGAGTTTAATTTCTATCACCTTGTGGAAAAACTGATTAGTGCAAATAAACCTCAAGGCACATGTGCGTGTGTACATGCGGGTAGAAAAATCTTTATGCATAAAAAACACACACACACACACACACACACACACACACACACACACACACACACACACACACACACTTTGGGCTTAAACCTACATGCTCCATGAGTAACGGTGGTGTGGTTACCTTGATGCTCTTTTTAAACTGGTATCCTGGCGTGGATGAGCCTTTGCGTAAGAGCTCGCTGAAGATGACGATCTGTTCAAACAGGAATACCCTGCGCTCCTTACTGCGGGACAGAACACCAGAGTCCTGCTCCGTCACAAAGAACGTCTCCTGCTGCAAGAGCTTTCCCTGACTCGTCAACTTCCCCTGAAGCACACAAACATACAAACTCATCAGTCTGAGATAGTGAAAGTGTCCCTGAACTCAATTGCTCTGATACATTCAAGTGAACATTAACAGATGCCACAAATCGTGGAGAACTCTTGATTCGTGTTAAAATGCTAAATTTAAGGATACGATTAAAGAGAGTTGACCCAAAAAGTTTAATTCTGTCCTTTTCACTCTCATGTTGTTCCAAACTCATAAGACATTTGTTCTTTTAAACACAAATTAAGATTTTTTTTTCAAGTAACCTGAGAGATTTCTGTCCCTCCATTAAACGTTCATTCCACTAAAACGTTCGAGCTTTAAAGGAGTCATCGGATGCCCATTTTCCACAAGTTGATATGATTCTTTAGGGTCTTAATGAAAAGTCTATAACATACTTTGGTTAAAATTTATCAATGGTAGTGTAAAAAAACACCCTTTTTACCGTCAAAATCAGCTGTTTTCAGCAAGCTGTTTTTTAGACCATGTTACTTTAAATGCTAATGAGCTCTGCTGACCCTGCCCCTCTCTTCCGTGGGGTGACGAGCAGACTGTAAACTTCAGCCACGAAACTGGCTAACTAGCACATTATTAGGAAAGGTGATTTGCAAAGATGCATAAAAAACCCTTACACTCACTTCTTCTGTAGATGAAGCTGGCTCACGAATGATTCACGCGAACATAGACGCATTTAGGCAGATCGAGGATTGGTGCATTCCCTTCAAAAACGAAAGTAATGTTAATCCTCTGCGTCTTTAGTAAATGACGACTGCTTTATTCATTATTACATCCAGCAACAAAACACCTCAATTGCTTAATCGGAGACATTCTTGTCTTCCCCCGCACCGGGGTCGACACAATGGCGGACTGATGATTGCTCACTCAGGGCGGGTCTAAGGTAAGACGGCCTTGTCAATCAACTGTTCATAAAGAGATCCATATCTAACCATATCAGTAACTGACAACAGTAGAACACCCCTTAACCATGGTAAAATCACTGTAAACTTTTACAACGTCTTTTCAGTAAGCTTGCACTGATGACACTTCAGAATGAGTACAGTGAAGCTGTTTTCAGTTTACCTCAAATCCTTGCAGTCTTCCCAGGTTCATCATGTCATTGCACAGCTTGGGCACCTGGGACATCAGGTCTACTGCTCTCTGTCAGAGAAACCCAACAAAAACCTGGATGACCTCTGGGCCTGAAGTATAAGCAGCTTCAACAAACTTTGCAAAAATCTAAAATGCATTGTCCTCGCTTTATGACTGACCTTTATTATTATTATTAGGCAAGTGAGCACTTTAGCTTCATTTTTACCTCTATATCCTGACAATTCAATCCTGCCTTTGCGCTGTACTTCAAGAAGTCCTTAAGCAATAGAGAAATATTGAAGAAATTATATACTTTATTAAAACATTATTATTATTAATTCATGTTATCGATCACAGCATCAACGACTTATTTTCTACTGTACCTTTAATAAAAGCTGGTATTTAGTGATTCTCTGAATGGGTTTAATGAGAAAATCACTGATGCCCAGTCTTGAGTTGATGTCTTGCTGAATCCCCTGTGAGTCAAAACAGACACATAAATATAAACTTGCAATGAGTAATTCTTTTTTTCAGAAGTGATTTGATAGAGTGCTGCAGGAAAGAGTCCTAAAAACAAATCTTTAAACATTTTTTTAATAGGTTTTTGGTTAAATGCATAAAAAAAGGTCTGTGTTAATAATCTCAAGATATTTTCACATTTTATGCTACAACATAAAATAAATCAAAAGTAGCCCAGCTTTTACGCGTCTTAAAGGGGTCATATGATGCTATTTTAAAGATCATTATTTTGTGCTGCATCAACACTACTGTGGTCCTGAAACCACGCCTTCTTTCTTTGCGTGCACATTTGGGCGGCCTTATTTCCACATAGTGAGGTAGATATGTGGGGGTGTGTTAGAATGAGCCGTTTTAGGTAGGTGTGGCTGACTCTTAACTTTTATAAAGAATATCTCTTTGGATTTGAGACTTTAGTCTTTGCAACTTTACAGATCTTCTTTATGCACCAAGAGCTTGTAACACTCCAAAGAGAAAGGAAAATTGAAATCGCATCATATGACCCCTTTAAAAAAGGCAGTTGTAACAAGGCTACAGAGGTTGTCGGGACATTAAACGTCATCACACCGAACAGGTAAACTCATCTACTCACTAGTCCACTTTTACAGCCTTTTTTTATGTATGCACATGCTCTTGGAAACTATTCTAACTCAAGCTTTCCAGCCAGTAGATTTTAAATAAAGATTGAAATAGTTGTTGGCAGCTTAGTGGTGGTCACCGCAGTGTATAGCCTAACCTTAGGTTTTTACTCATTTAGGCTTCACAATTCATAAAAGTGGTGTTCATCTGTGAAGATTATCTCAGAGAGTTTATGGGAAAAAATCCTATTGGGTTTTTTTGTTGTTGAGAAAAACAGGGTAATGATAACTTCTGGGCTGGTCTACAAAAATACGCCATCAAAGTAAAGCGTGTCTCACCTCAAAGTATGAATCGTATTCTGCAACAATGAATTCAGATTTGGGTTTGTTTTGGCAGTAAACCACATACATGTGCAGTCTTCTCTCCTACACACACAGAAACAGGAAACACTTCATGAGCAATGCACAGCTAACACAGCTAACAGACCTGATGTCAATCACATACTCACATGTTTACAGAACAGCCCGGGCAGTTTTTCTTGATCTTCAAGACATTTTTCCAGTTCACCAACAAAAAAGCTTCAGACAGCAACAGAATTAGACACATTCCGTTCATGTTTCAATAAGAGGCGCTAAGAGAATCAGAGAGGCTTACTCTTTGTGCCAGTCATAGATTTGGTGAATGTTTCCAAAGACGATCTTATCTTTTCCTTTCATGTCATCAGGAACTCCTTTCTCCTCTATCCTCTTCATAAACCCCTTCAGAAAAAATGATTTCATGTACATATGAGCCACTACTCAAAACACATTCACCCAGAGTAAAAACTGATGTAATGCAAAAGAGTAATGACACAGCAGATGATGCCAAATGGCTCTGATCTTAAGATAGAAGACGAATGAAGAAGGATAAAGTCACACTAGAGTGTTTTCACGCTAAAGCAAAACTATGCCTTTAGTCACAGAATTATGTAATGTTATACTGTCAGGATGTCGGCTATTCTCACCTCGACCACGATACCCAAATCTTTCACGTAGTCTTTTTCTGTCTGGATTAATTCATTGAGAACAAACCTGCAAATGGACACAAAACTGTGTCAGGTTAAGTCACATCACACTTCTCTTTTAAGGGTGTAGCAGAATGAAAGAACAATTGAAATAAAGAGGCCTAAAGAGATAAGCTTTCCCATAAATATCTCTGCTTTTTAATGAAACCAATATTGTTCAGGGAGATGACTTTCTCAATGTTGCCTGTTACATGAACATGGAATTATTACCAGATCTGGTTGCTTGAAAATAATCGATTGCATTTTACCAGATGTAACCAGATTATTTTTTTTAAAGTCTGGGCAATACAGTGAAAAAAAAAAACGTGATATTTCTAAATCTTTTGGCAATATCTCAATATATATATGTACTCACTCTGAAATGGCTTATGGAAGCCTGTTTCCGCCACTGAATAAAAAAAAAAAAATTGTTTTATCTCACAATTCTGACTTTTTTTGAGTTATAAAGTCAAACTTATATAAACTCAAACTTCTGACTTTTTTCTCAGAATTGCGTGATATAAACTAACAGTTGTGAGTTATAAAGCCCGAATTGTTGGATATAAACTCGTAATTCTGACTTTTTTCTCGCAATTGTGAGTTTGTATCTCACAATTCTAAAAAAAAAAAAAAAGTCACAATTTCGAGATATAAACTCACAATTCTGAGAAAAAAAGTCAGAATTGTGAGATAAAAAGTCGCAATAACCTTTTTAATTTTTTATTCAGTGGCGGAAACGGGCTTCCATAATGGCTTGGAATGGTGCTGCATTTATTTTTTTCAAAAAATTGTGTTAATTTGTAAATTAAAATAATTTGTTTCATAAGAATTATTTTCAACCAAAAAGCAGTGTATTTAAACATTTAAATTCAGTAAAAATCTAGTAAAAAATATCTAATGTTTTCCACACTAGTTCCCACTAAATAAATAAATAACCATTAATTTATAAAATTCAATATAATAATACTGATTTATGCATTTCATATGCATATTTTTTATGCATGTGACGACACATATACATTATATATTAAATGCCAACCTGGGAGCCAAACTATACAAATATATTTTATAAATAGGAAACAAATAAATAAGTCAGGTTCCCTTACATTACATTAGCAGCAGGGCTTAAGCCCCACAAGCAACCTGTGGTTTGGTCACTAAGACATGATATCAGACTGTAATGTTTGTAGAATTTACTCCCAGACCAACCCAAATGAGTGAAGAGCGTGTGTCTTACATTCGTCCACGCAGTGCTTTGGCTTTCTGCTCCAGTTCCGGGTCTCTGGGAGGCACTGGGCTCTGCTCTGCTGGGTTCACTGAGCTGAATCCTGGGTACGAGCCTGGCTCCAGTGTCTAGAGGTACAGAGACACACGCAAATACAAGAGACTCCGGTCAGAATTTGGAAGAGCCAGGCCCGATGTGGGAGAACAAACACTGCAATTGGATGGTTTATGTGCGACACGGCCCTAAACTGCAATAAACACCATCAGAGCTGCTCAGAAGATTCAAAGTGGAGAAAAGCGTCACTCCAGGCCACAGAGCGAGTTATAATATCCAGCAAGTTTGGAAGGTTTTTATAACTTTATAACCATAAAAGACTATTGCAGAAAATCACAGTAGTGCAAGAGATGCTCAAGAGTTAGTGATTGTCTCAGAGCAAGAGAAAACAGAAAGGAAAAGAGGAAAACCAGGAAGTTAGTCGATCAAACCTCCCTGCTTGTGTCAGCAGAGGAGATCGGGTTCAGTGGCACACTTACCATCTTAGTTTTGACCAGTTTTTCTATAGCACTGACAAGCTCAGCAGCACTGGGGACGTCAGCCGAGCTCTGCCGTGAAGCCAGCAGCACAGACGACTACATGACAGACAGCAGGTGAGGAGGAGAGAGGAAAGAACACACAAGCAGATCAGAACAGAAAGTGCCCAGGATGCTGGGTTAGCCCAGTTTATCAAGCTTTGCTTTGGGGAGAAGAGAAGCAAAGGCCATGCCAAGAACATGCCAAACATTTCACCTCCAAATCAAAAGAAAAATAACTAATTATAAGCTAATTAAAAAACTACTTTTTAAGACCTTTACAATTTGTGCAAAGTGACATTTCTTTTTCAAATTCCATTTCAAATTCTCATTATTGTAACAGGTAAAATATGTGATGCATAATATTTATACTTCATGACATTGTTTGTTGTATACACTACTATTCAAATGTTTGGGATCTGTAAGATTTCTCTATTAGAAGTCTCTTATTGATCAAAAATAGAGTAAAAACAACAATATTGTGAAATATTATTACAATTTAAAATGACTGTTTTCTATTTGAATATATTACAAAATGTAATTTATTTCTGTAATGACACGTGTCAGTGTCACATGATCCTTCAGAAATCATGATTTGCTGCTCGAGAAGCATTTCTATTATCAATGTTGAAAACAGCTGAAATCAAATTTCTTTACTGTCGCTTTTGATCAGTTCAATGCACAATATAAGCATTAGTTTCTTTAAAAAACAAAAAAAAAACTTGCAGGAACAGGGTTTTTCTTACTATATTATCGTACAGAGAATCTAATAATGAAAAAAAAAACAGTGAGAATAGGAATTAAAAAAAAAAAGATGCAGGAGAATGGCAACAGATTAACTATAATTTGATGGGAAATGTGCTTAATTGTCATAATAATCAAGGTAACAATGAACAATAATAAATAATGGCACAACGCAAACAATCATAATGGCCTTTCATTTCTTTATGAAATGAATTTTTTACTTTCGATTTTAGAGTGAAATAAGGTCATGTTCTTTTCGAGATTCAACCCATCAGACGGCAATGGGTTGTAAACACATTACTACTGCAATCTCAAGGCACAGCGTGTAACAGAGCCAGAGCTGTGGAACAGTAAAAGTTTCACAACTACATCATTTAAGCATCATTGCAACAACAGGGTGGATTTGTGGTTAGTTGAATGTGAGACAAGGAGCCTCCACCCGAGCAGTTACTGGAGATGTTGACATCAGGGAGGAAAAACAGTGTTAGTAAAGCCACTGTGTGTGTGTGTGGGGGGCTATGAGGAAGGCAGGTGGAGATACTGTAGTTATGAACACATGATGAGTGACACAGTAAGTATTTAATAAATCTCTCTTCACATTAATCACCCTGCTGACCTCTGCCTATGACATGACTCTCCCCACGCTCCTCTCTCTGTTCTGTGTGTGTACCTTCTCTTCCTGAGCAGACGGATCTTTGATGATCTCCATTGGTGGAGGGAGGGGAGTGTGGGACTCGTCCTCAGGCTCTTCCTCTCCTCCGCTGTGCATCCCTGACGAAGATTTGGAGAGTGTTCCTTTTTCTTTACACACTCTCTGGAAACACAAGAACAAGTCAATCAGCAAATTCACAATGCATGTTACAACTGTGTTATAGCAGTTATCATAAACACCCCTGTGACTACAGAACAGACCATCCTCTTGTGAAAAAGAAGTGCACTTTATTATATTGAATGTACACTTGCAGTGTACTTCAAATCTTAAAAAGTATATTTAAAAAATGATGTACTTGCTGATGATTTATTATTAATGAAATAAGGCCACTTAATAAGTGTGCTTAAAGAGAGTATGCATCCATGACTGTGTTTTGTAATAGTGCCAAATCAAATGTTTACTTTAAAGTATATTTTAAATAGGTCCTGGAGGGCCGGTGTCCTGCAGAGTTTAGCTCCAACCCTACAACATATTTTGAATGTACTACATTGCAACTTTATTGTTACAAATGTATAAATACAAATATATTTAAATACATGATATACATGTTCCAATAGAAATTACATTTTAGTTTAGTTTACCATAAATGCTTGTCAGTACATACAGCAATATGACTGCGCTATTTTAAAGACAACAGAAGCAAATATGAAATTACATACAAACATGTACTTAAGTCCTACTTAAGTTGGTTAAAAAGTTAAACTATTTGCATTTAATATAAATTTAAACTTCAAAGGTATAATATATTACTTTCTTTTAAAATGTATAATTTCCTTAAGTACTTTTTGTTTTTAAATGTATGCTATGATGTACTTTTTCCACAAGGTTCATTCATTTGTAAAAACATCTTTGATTGTCTAACAGCCTACAGAGAGGCTAATGTACATACTACAAACCAGATTAATTATCAGAATAATACCTCAAACTGTGCTATTACTTTCGGTGATTCATAATCATCATAGAACATTACCAAGAACACCATAAAAATCCTCAGAATATGCATTGTGGCACAGTTTTGCATGGGTAAGCACCTCAAAATCTAGTTTAATAAACAATCATTGATGATTATGTTGCTTTGTATATTGAACACTGGTGTCTTTAATGATATTACTAAAATCATATTACTGAAGACAATAAACGACTCAAGGCAACACATTACAGTGATATTATCACACTTATGTCTAACAAACACCTTTACCTGTGATAAAATCACCGTAACCGTAACACACAGCCTCAAGTGGTTCACTGCTTTATTATTTGGCTTCTAGTGCACCAGTTTAAATGCTCAGAATTTATTGTTGAAGAATTTGCTCTGAAAGACAGCAGACATGGTTAATATGGGCCATTGTGGTGGGGTTCACATACCCTGCTTCCGAAATACAGAGGCTCTTTTGTATCAGCACATTATATGGCGCACAGCTTTAAAAAGTCAGGCTAATCATCACCCTCCGATCTGAACGGCTGCTGCCAGGGCCATAGCAGCCCTTTAATACGCCATTAATACAGCCCACAGAACAAGAGGCCTCCTTTTCTCTCTATTGCCATGATTGCGTAAAAAATAGTAATGGAGAATGAAGGAGTGGTTATAAAACACTCTGACGTAAAAACTGCTGTCCACCGTCACCACATGCTGTTACACAAACGTTAGATATCAACAACAAACCTGGTTTTGGGGAATCCTTTTGGAAATGTGAAAATATTCTATAAATAAACAAATTATGGTGATTTAGCTCAGTCCGTCGTGCCACTGATAAGATTGGACTGGATTTATATTTGAAACAGTGTTAAGTGTTACAGTGTTAAACAGGAAAAAACGTGAGCTGATAATGCAAGAGGACAATAGAAAACAGTCGGTCTGTGCAGTCAAGTCAACAATATTGCCAGCGTCCCCAACTAAGCAAGCCAAAGGTGACAGTATGGAACCAAAACTCCATCTGTGACAGAAATGGAGAAAAAAAAAAAAAAACCTTGGGAGAAACCAGGCTCAGTCGGGGAGCCAGTTCTCCTCTGTAACAGCTGTACCCATGTTATTGATTAACTGTGTAGTTAAAACCATTATAACATATTTCTAATATACTACTAAAAGACTAATGAAATGCTGTGACAATCACTTTTTCCTACTGAGAAAAAGAGTTGAGATGAACCAGGGGGGCCTACCTTTATGAACATAAAAAAAGATTAATGGTGTCTTTAATACTGAATTGTCATTAAAAACACATATGCAAAACAACAAAATAGCCAAAAAGGTGGAGAAAAAATTTCTGGTCTGACTGTGTGAGAACTGCAGAACAAAAACACAGTAAAAATATTGTATTGCAGAGAGAGTGATCACCATTGTGGTTTTGTGGACATATAGCATAGTATAGGGTGACCATACGTCCTCTTTTCCCTGGACATGTCCTCTTTTTGGACCTAAAAAAATGCGTCCGGTCAGGATTTCTTATTCGCCCAAAATGTCCGGGATTCGGCTGTTTTCTTTGTCCCGCTCCCGCTGAATTTCTGACCATTGCCGCCTGTTCCCGCAATATGTTTTGCTCCCGCGATTTTCGTGTCCACTCCTTTAAACATTCTAATATTGTGTATAATTTTGTCGCATCAGGGAGCCGCTCTCAGTATGCAGAGTATTTAAATCTCTTTTGAATGAACGTTCGCGCTGTTCACTTTCACTTTCGATTTCGTGATCACACTCACTCTGTGTAAAGGGAGCACATCTTACAAGATCAGATATTTGTCAGTGAGCTCAGGATCTGTTGAGCAGCAAATACTCAAGCATGGTCTTGTCACTCATCTCCTTATTCTCGACCTGTGATCAGTCAAATTTGACTCCAGTAGCTTGGATGCAGGGTTGCCAAGTCCGCGTTTTTGCCACAGAATTGGGCTACTTTTAAACTGTTGCCATGGGTTGAATTTCCCAAGTGGGTTAAAGGTTTGAAATATTGCATAAATTAAATTTGACTGAAATGCCTGTATTGAAATATTTTGCATTCAAGTTCAACCTGTGATAAGACTTTAATGGACTTTTTCATTAACTGTTCCCTCCTGGTGGAATGAAGCTGAGTTTAATCATTTTCAATAAACGGCTAAAAACACATCTCTTTCATGTTCATTTGACCCTCTTAACTCTAGCACTCTTTATTCTAATGCTAATTCTAAGGCAGATCTTGTTGGACGTAGGGTTGCCAAGTCCGCATTTTTTCCACAGAATTGGGCTAATTTTAAACTGTTGCCATGGGTTGAATTTCCCAAGTGGGTTAAAGGTTTGAAATATTGCATAAATTAAATTTGACTGAAATGCCTGTATTGAAATATTTTGCATTCAAGTTCAACCTGTGATAAGACTTTAATGGACTTTTTCATTAACTGTTCCCTCCTGGTGGAATGAAGCTGAGTTTAATCATTTTCAATAAACGGCTAAAAACACATCTCTTTCATGTTCATTTGACCCTCTTAACTCTAGCACTCTTTATTCTAATGCTAATTCTAATTTTATTTTATCTGCAAAAAAATAAAATAAACTTGACCCTCTAACATTTGCACTCTCTATTCTATTTCTATTCTATATTCTAATCCATCATTTTTGGGGGGGATTTTTTATTTCTTTTTTAATAAGTATCGGTTCAGGCACCGGAACCGTTTTAAAAGTATCGATTTGGGACCGGTATCGAAAAAAACCCAAACAATACCCAACCCTAGTCCTCAATCTGACAACCCGCATGAGCGTTGAGTCCGAGGAGGAGGGGGTGGGAAAAACAATATTTTGAATTTAGACCACCATTATTACATACTGCTAGTGCTGGGCGGTATACCGGTTCATACCGAATGCCGGTGTTTATTTTTGTTATGATATGAATTTTTAAAATACCGCAATACAGTGG